GACTCGAGCCCAGCGCTCGACTCCTCCGATCCACTGTCCTCTCGACTCGTCGTCGTCGTCGTCGTCATCGTCGTCGTCATCGTCGTCTTCGCCACGTCGGCCCTCGTGTCCGGCTGGGCCGAGTAGACCGCGTCGTCGGCAATTGTCGAATAACCGGCGTACTCGGGCCTCGAACGCGCGGGTCGGGCTTGGCCCGTCTCCGGCCAGCCCCGGCCGGCGGTTCCACCCGACGCCGGCGGTGCATCGTCGGGGAAAGCGGTGAGCAGGTTGGCCGGTTTCTTCGGCCGCCCGTTCCGGCCGTCTACTCGCGACTGGCGTTGTCCGATGAACTCGCGGGCCAGTTGCCGTCGCAACAGACGCACCCGGAGGCGTTGTTGCTGACGCCGCCAGATACAGCAGCCGAAAGCCATGCTGAGGGCGAGACTGAAGCAGACGAGGCCGGCGAGCGCGAAGAAGACCAAAAGAGGCAGGCCGATGGTGATGAGGACGGAGTCGGCGAAGCGAGAATCGCGACTGCCCATTCGGACGGAGGCGTCCTGAACCGGAGCAGACGAGGAGGCAGTCTGCAATGGCTGGGGCCCAGAGACGGTGGTACTCGAGGAGGTGGGAGAAGGAGCAGTGGTTGCCTGCTGCTTCGGTCGCCTGGACAACCAGCTGAAGCTGGAGACACGGGCGTCAACGCTGGCCGGCGTGAGACTGAGGACGGGAGGATGGGAAGTCGCGAGTCGTGGAAATGTCGGCGAGGTTGTTGGCGTTGACGGAGGCTGGGCCTGACAGACGAAACGGACGCCGCTGCGCATGTCGTCATCGCGGCCTTCCGACTCTTCCAGGCAGGTCAGGTTGCCCGGACACAGATTGGGCTGGCAAGGGCTTGCCGTTTCTTCACAGTGTCTTCCCATGAAACCGAGGCTGCAGATGCATCGGTAGCTGCTGATCAGATCCTCACAAAGGCCCCCTACGGACAGGGACATGCAACAGAAGAGAAACGGATAAAATAAAATAGTTAAATTGAGAATAATGAGAAAGGAAATGGCGATTCTAGTTGTTTTCTGTGTACGTAGGTTTTGAGACTAAAGAAAATTATTGCTTGAGTAATAATTGTTGAATATTCTTAAAGTCAGAAGAGTAGGACTCAGGACCCAATTGCATTTCGCAGATTGCAGATATGAGATTAAAGGCAAGCCAGACCAATCTCAAATCAAACGCCGAATAAGCAAACATGTACAGAAGTTTGATGGAAGAAATGAAGTTGTTTGACCTTGTTTTCGCAACTTGGTCAAATTGGTAGGGAGACTTAGAGAAACGCACCTAGTCCGCAGTCCATTGTATGCCTAATTATTTCCAAAGTAGGACCGTAGACGTGATACATTTCCAGACGTTTCACCGGCATCGTCAGTGAGTTTTACCCTTCGTAGGACCATAGTACAGCTCGTCAACGCGAGAAGTGAAGCTGATCCTTTGACCAAACGTGTGCTAAACAGTTGTGGTAGCTCTTATTTCATACATACTCCTATCACCCCTTCACTGTCACAATATTTTACTTGCTTCATTAAATGTGGTACGGTGTGCCCTTTTGAGCGGCATTCATGAAAACCTCTGAGTAAGTCTCATGGCAGGCCCTTACCACATGGACTAGGTCTCTTGTAAAACCTACTGTCAACCCACTTGCTCCCTTCGCCGT